TTTCTAGAAGAGAAAAGATATCCTGGTGTTTATTGATGATTGCCTTTAACATAGGGCTATTTTTTTTACGCCAGAGACAAAACATTTTTCTCAATCTTCGCCAATAAAATCCCCCCAAATTCCACATCACCTTCATAAGAAGTTCATTTGAAATCACAATATCATCTCATCAAAGGATTATCTGAGCAATAACACCGCCTGAGACGCATCAACATGCCATCGCCTTAATGAAAACTCCTCTTCAATGATCAACAGGATGATCAATAAAGCTTTGACACAATAATATACAGCCTAATTGGTATAATTGGATTTTATTCTATAATCTGAAGGTTCAGTTAAATTGGTTTCTGCGTCAGCAAGCACAACACAGACACAGATGAGGTCAAAGCGCGGATATGTTATTTAGGCGGCGCATTTAAAATAAATAATAATTTTATATAGTATAGCTCAAATATTGGGGGGAAAGCCCACATCACCATTGCAATCGCAAATCCCTTTAAAACAACCTGCAGAACAGTAGGAGGCATGTATTAAATTAAACCCTGTTATGACGGTTTTTACAGTGGTTGAAATTATACTTGCCTGTGATTGCAATTGGGTCTTATCTGTCCATTAACTATCAATTTTGGCTGTAAAGTCCTGAACAACTAAAACATTTGTTTCAACAACTGTGAAATATACAACCAACTTCTTCACTGACATGAAGTCTCAAAGTATTTCCTCGCACGCACAAACCCCCCCCCCCACACACACACACACACACACCTTTCCTCTGTGTTAAACTTCATTCATCAGGGAGAGCGAGAGACAGATAGAGAGAGAGAGAAAGAGAGAGAGAGAGAGAGAGATTACGTCATGAACAGCAGCCAATGAAACGGTAGAGCGCACTATAAAGCAAGAGCCCATTCTCTGTTTTAGGGACATCAAGAGAGTAAACTCGGACAATAAATCTACTATAGGATATTTTTTTACTTTTTCGAAAAGTATTTGTGGAACCACAGCATTGTTCCTCTTTTACCATTTGACCAAGGTAAGCTTAATATATGCACAAGAGGACAGATTGATTTCTAACTGAGCAGGCAATATCAGAGTGAAGAGCAAAGTGCTGAGTGGAGATTATTTTGCATGCATACTATTCATATTTACCGTATTAACTTACTGTTAATAAGTATGAATTTGTCATTTGCAACGTTTAATGTACACATTCTTTATAATCAGTGTGTTTTATTCATGGGATTCCTATGAGTCATAGTCTGGTGGTTGTAAACTTTACATAGTCCATTACTTTTCATAACTTATCACTTGTACTGCAAGTCTTTGTGCGGCATGTGAACTTACAGAATCCAATTAATAACTAACACATGCCGTGTGACAGTCTTTAGTTACTTTCAACTTTATGGTGCATGTAGTCAACATGTTGCACAACACTTCTCCCTCACTACTCTAATGCTCCTCCTATTTAATTTTCAGGTTGTGCAGAAGCCAGAAAAAAAGGAGTTGTCATCATGGTGCTGATGATACTGCCATTCATTGGATCAGTGTCGGTATCTGAGAGTTTGGTGGCCTTGACAACAGTGTGTCTGGTCTACCTAATCCTCAAGTTTTTCCGCACTGAGATTCCTGAGGGGCTACATCGGCTGCCTGGACCAAAGCCCCTGCCTCTCATTGGGAATGTGCTGGAGGTGGGCAACAAACCTTATCTGAGCCTCACTGCCATGAGCAAGCGCTACGGCGATGTCTTCCAGATTCAGATTGGCATGCGTCCCGTGGTTGTACTAAGTGGCAGTGAAACAGTCCGACAGGCTCTCATCAAGCAAGGGGACGAGTTTGCGGGCAGACCTGACCTTTACAGCTTCAGGTTCATCAACGATGGGAAGAGTCTGGCCTTCAGTACCGACCAGGCTGGTGTCTGGCGTGCCCGCAGGAAGCTGGCCTACAGTGCCCTGCGTTCCTTCTCCAGCCTGGGCGGCACAACCCCAGAGTACTCCTGTGTGCTGGAGGAACACATCTGCAAGGAGGGAGAGTATCTGATCAAACAGCTCAACACTGTCATGAAAGCTGACGGCAGCTTTGACCCCTTCCGCCACATTGTTGTCTCTGTTGCTAATGTGATCTGTGGAATGTGCTTTGGCCGACGCTATGACCACAATGACCAGGAGCTACTCAGCTTGGTGAACCTCAGTGATGAGTTTGGCCAGGTGGTGGGCAGCGGTAACCCTGCAGACTTCATCCCTGTTCTTCAATTCCTGCCCAGCACAACAATGAAGAAGTTCATGGACATCAATGCCCGCTTCAACAAGTTTGTGCAAAAGATTGTCAGCGAGCACTACACCACCTATGATAAGGTACAGCACACACTTAATCATGAAAGCTTATTTAGTCCATTCTTCTTCTACATTATTGCTGGAAATTAGACACTGTTTTCCCTTTTAGTATTTAATAAAGATTGTCTAATCATCTTCTTTCAGGACAACATTCGTGACATCACAGACTCCCTCATTGATCACTGTGAGGACAGGAAGCTGGACGAGAACTCCAATGTCCAGATGTCAGATGAGAAGATTGTAGGAATTGTCAATGACCTGTTTGGAGCTGGTAGGTTTAATGATCTGGTCTGAAGTAACATGTCCCTAAATAAAGAAAAAAGACCTGTCCTCACAGAGGTTATCTTTGTCCACCAGGCTTTGATACCATCTCCACTGCCCTGTCTTGGTCAGTCATGTACTTGGTGGCTTACCCAGAGATAGAGGAAAGGCTTTATCAAGAGCTGAGTAAGTAGAGCTAGGTTACACAAAATACTTTCTTGCATATACATGTATCTCATGGGACAGTAAAAGTCTGATAAGTGGATAAGTTGTTCAGTGGTAAAATGTAATGCAGGAACGTAGTTTTGCTGCTCTCAAAGTTAAATGGTCAATAATGATTCTTTAATCAAGTAAAAATGTGAGCAAGGACTATTCACTTCAACCTCCACCCTCACCTTGAACTAATAGTCAATAATCTCTTTTCATTTCCAGAGGAAAATGTGGGTCTGGACCGCACTCCTCTTCTCTGTGACAGACCCAACTTACCCTTCCTGGAGGCCTTCATCCTGGAGATCTTTCGCCACTCATCTTTCCTGCCCTTCACTATCCCTCATTGGTGAGGTTTAAAGACGCATGAAAGCACCACATGTGCTATCACAAGCATAATAATGCATGTGATCTAAACCTGTAAATACACAGTGGACTAACACTTTGTCCTTCCTTTTCAGCACATCAAAAGACACATCTCTGAATGGCTACTTCATTCCCAAAGACACCTGTGTCTTCATCAATCAGTGGCAGATCAACCATGACCCGTAAGTTCTTTCTGTTGTTTCTAAAATGGTTGAAGATGACAACACTCACACTTCAGAGTTGCCCAGTACAACCAGTAGAGAGAGCTCTGTTAAAGCAGAAGAATGCCACCCCATTGGTAGTTGTGAAGGAAGACAATAGCCATCCTCATTCACTTCCCACGCCCAGTTTATCCTGCCTCAATGAGGAGATTAAACCTGTAGTTGATTACAGACCTGCCTTTTTATTGATATGGTTATGTGTGCAGCTTATCTTATGTATTTATTTTCTGCACTTTTCAGTGAGCTGTGGAAAGATCCATCTTCCTTCAACCCAGATCGCTTCCTGAGTACTGATGGCACTGAGCTCAACAAGCTAGAGGGGGAGAAGGTGATGGTTTTTGGCCTGGGAAAGCGCCGCTGCATTGGCGAGGTCATTGCACGAAATGAAGTCTTCCTCTTCTTGGCAATCATTGTCCAGAAGCTGCACTTCAAGACACTGCCTGGAGAACCACTGGACATGACCCCAGAGTACGGTCTCACAATGAAGCACAAACGCTGCCATCTGAGAGCCACAATGCGAGCGAGTGAATAATGTGTGACATGTATAATGTGTGGCTCAATGTGTGGTATAAGTTGACTCTAACACTGTATGGATCGCATTCAGGTTAAGAGTCAGTGAAAGAAGCATCTTTCTCAGAATGTAAGGCAATGGATGCCAAATTTGATCTACAGAGCTAATGGCATTGAAGCAAATATGTGAATTTTGCTTGCTGCCGATTTTCAACGATGTCTAGGTTCTTATGAACATATCTCATGTAATGTTTTTGGTTCTCTAAGAGATCATCCGGCCCATGATTGGTGCTTCTCAGTGAAGTATAAGGAGATACCTATTTCTCCTGTGCAGCGTAGTAAACTAAACTGCTCCCATTAAGAAGTTGTAAAATACTCACAAAGTTACCTTGTTCAACTTTGGGACAAACAGTATGTTTTACTGGATAGGCATTACTAATTAGACCACAGCAACCAACATGTTTTTCTTCTGTGACACAGGACTCTGAACTGAACAGATATTTGATGACATTTACATGTGTAAGCTAATTATTTGTATTCCATTGTAATGTGGATGTAAGACACTGAAGCTATATTTGTATCCCAAAATGTGATTTTGTGTGTATATCAAGTTATTTGTATTTCATAAAGACATTTTTATGTGCTTAGCGTTTGTACATATTTGAGGTAAAATAGTTTTGCTGTGCATCTATGTGAAATATCAGGACACCAAAAGAGTTCCAGTGATTTTTGGAATATATTGGAAGGCTATACATTTTTGTATTTCTATCTCTAATGTATCAATGATTGTATAACGTGTAAGGGAATGTGATCGGTGCACCCTTTAATCAGTCACGCAAATAAAATAAAATAAAATTATGTTTTAATGATCATCTTGTTCCAATTATTTGCTTGAGTTGAAAGAAAAGGGAAAACCAGTTCACCCGCACAGTATTAGAGTGATGACCATCACAGAAAGATGGATACAGTCAACGATGTGCACAAAAGTGAATCCATGTCAGAAAAGAGTCAGAATAGCCTACTGAGCTCTCACATGAACGGATTTAAGTTTTGGAGGGAAAAAACAAATCACAACAAACCCACGTGGGAGATAAAGGAAGTTACGTACCGACGTTACGTATCGACCCGGAAATCGGCACAAACAACAGCTGAAGCTTTGGTTTCCTTGACACATCGCTACAGCTTTATCGACAAGGTAAATCTTTCCACCATTGACTGAACATACTCAGACTGCGTATTCAACACTAGTAAACCCTCGCCATGAGAGTACAGTCTCTAGTCCTCTTAAATACAAAGCAAACAGGGCGGACACAAGCGATGCTAATATTAGCTCTCTAGCTAGCCAGCACAGCCTGGTTGTACAGCTAAATGTTGTTATATTTCATATATTTATCTGAACAGTTCCCTCATATAGATGCTGTTTCCCCCCCAAAAGTTGTAATACTTTACCTCAGACAGGTTCAACACGTAAAAAACATTTAAAGTAAGAGCAGGTTAGCTAGCTAATGTATGTAGTAAGCTCGGTACAATGCTAATGGACGGAATTACATTACAGCTCAATCAGCTGCTGCATATTGTTGGTAACGAAGACCGAGTGTAACTTACCATACACCATACCATACATTCAGCATTAGTAATCTATCAGAATATTCAGTGGAGTTAGTGGGGAGGGCAGATGATCAGGGCTGAAGTTAGGGCCATAGTCATAAATTAAAGTCCCCCCCGAACATTTTAATGAGAAGAAGAAAGGCTCTAGGAATCCTTCATTCTTTAAATCCTTTTGAATACTTGTATTATTTATTGGCCTAAAAGTAGTCACATTTTAATATATTAACGGCCCAGTGTGTAACATTGAGGAGGATCTATGGGCAGAAATGAAGTATAATATTCATAGGTATGTTTTCATTGGTGTATAATCACCTGAATATAGTAATTGTTGTTTTTTTTTTTCTTACCTTTTGAGCCCTTTTTATCTACAGAGGGAGCCTTTCATGGAGTTTGCCTTCCTGGACCTCCATGTTTCTACAGTAGCCCAGAAGGGCACAGTAGAGTTTTGAGGCTACCGTAGTTTCTTCTACACACTTCACAGCCCGCTCTCAATGCCAGGTTGTCAAATACAGACATGAGTGGTGGTTCAGTTAGTTGTAGTCTGCAACTTCACTGCTGGATGCCACTAAATCCTACACACTGGTCCTTTAAGTCTAAAACCTCTGATATCTTTATTGCTACAGCCCTGGCTGAATTGTTACGGCTGCTGTAGCTTGATTATCCTTCCTCTTGTTTATGTTTTCGAACCATAGGATCACAGCGAGCAGAATGGCCACAGACTGGTTGGGTAGTGTTGTGTCTATAAACTGTGGGCTGACGTTGGGAGTTTATCAGGGAGAGGTGTCATCTGTTGATCACACCAGCCAGACCATCTCACTGCGACAGCCCTATCACAACGGGATCAGATGTCCTGTTCCTGAGGTCACTTTCAGGTAAGGAAGAAGAAGGATGCTGCAGCCATGAATCAGATTTGTAATTATTATATATTATCTCACCAAGGAGATTATATTTTCAGTGTGAGGGGGAAAAAAAAGTCTCAATGGCATTTGGTGGAAAGGGAACGTAATCAGTTTTAATGCAAGTTAGATCCAGGAATTTTAAAAACAGCTGCAACTTGTGATGATTTTTTGTTTTTTTCTAATCTAGTACACTTACTTGGATGAAATTATTTGGAAGTAAATCCAAATAAATATCAGCATTGCCTGTCACTATGTGTCTTTTGTTTCAGAATCCAGCTCTAGATGCAGATTACAATTTATAATTACATTATATTTAGGCATGCCAACAAATGTGTAAAAATCTAAGTTTAGAGCACAACAGAGAGCCTAGCAACGCAGTTTGTCAGTAACTTGTGTGTCTTCTAGTGCCATGGATATCAAGGAGCTGAAGTTCCTAGATATCCAGAACACAGTCAACAAGCCCAGCTCTGGCCAGGGAGCTGCAACAGAACCCAGCTTCATACCACCAGGACGTCATGGTCAGAGTAACAGCACCACTCACCCTCATCTGACGAGCAGCAGCTCTCATTCCAGCACTGCTCCAATCACCATCCTACGCAGAGGTGGGTCAGTGGGTGACCTAGGGTTCCTTTACCCTCACAGTTCATCTTCTTTGGTAGAGAAAATAGTTAAAAATTATTATTCATTATTTAGAGTTTCATAATGACGTTGCAGAATGTCACATAACATTTTAATATTGAGACACTTCATTTGACATACTTTGCTATGATTGAAGTGTTTGATATATTTTGTGTAATTAATGACTTTTGGTCAAGGAATACATATCCTGTATGTGTTCCTTGACCAAAAGTCTTGACTTGCCACTGTTGACTCATTTGCTAATGTAAACTGTGCTCTCCAAGTATGAATTAAGTTTGCTAACAGCATCAGCAGCAGATAACAGATTCAAGTTTTGTACTGAAGCCTGTGACCTTTAGTCTACACTGAACACTGCCAGTGCTAATCTAGCTAGAAGAGCTGTGATTGTGCAGTGAAATACCAAGCAATTGACAGGCTAATTTACAACTGTTCCACAATATCAGGACAGTTTGACGCAGGTTTTCACAGGTTAGAAAAGCCCAGTTCATTTCCAACTTTTGCTTATTCATTATGAAGCTGCACTTCCTAGTTCTCAAATCACAGAGCTATTGTTGTAAAGTCCGTTTTAGGAGTCATGTACAACATAACTGGAATTTACCTCACCAATGGCCCTACAGTACTCTTCTGTACAGAACAAAAAATAGATATTGTTCACTGGCTGAGGGAAATGTGACACACAATACTGTCATATATTACCCAATCCCTTCAAAGAGAGTTGCTACTGAAGATGGGTGGAAAATGCAAAGTCACTCAACATCACTGTTTTTGATTGTACAATAGACACATGATGTTTTCTGGCTTATAATAGGAAGGAAGTCAAATTTCTCTGTGGAGCAAATGATTGTTCAGATGTCGGGGCATTACGCTGCTTTAAAAAGTTCAAAATAACTCTGCAGTGGAGTAATCACAGTGCTCCAGTGTCACGAAAAGAGCGATGCTTAACGCACACATGCTTTGTGTATCTTTGTTACTGTCATCAAACAGTACAGCAGCAGTCATTTTTTCTCTCAATACTGTCTGACTCACCCAGCAGGTATGTGGCTTTCAGCCCTATGCCCATTGGTTTCTTCTAATGAATTAAATCTTCAAAAAGGGTCACAGATATTTCATTTCATTAGTGATCATTAATTTTATAGTTTCAAGCAAACATTTATCAAACAAGAGGAAATAGTGTATTTGTAGGGGAATATTTTGAGCCATAGATTTTTTTGTGCTAGTACCAGCATGGCAGAATAACAGTGCCCATGGTCTTGGGAATGAAGAAACAACAGCGTGGCTCACTGATGTGTTTTGAATTTTTTTTGGACAACGATGGAGCTCTATGGCTCTCCGCCGTTGGATACACAAATAATACCCAACAGTAGGATCATTTCATTGGTGGTTTTGAAAAGGGGCTTGAACTTTTAAAATAAGTAATATCCCTTTCAGACTAAGGCTCAGTGTGTCATAGCGGACCTTCTTCCTGATCAGACTGCTCAGCTTTGGTGAGAATTTAGTTTAATGTAATTACTTTAATGTGAGGTTTTGTTCAGTGTTATTTAATGTTTATGTTACCACCTGCCTGACTAGTCTAAAGAAAGGGGAGACAAAGTAACAGGAACAATAACCAGTGTCATGCAGTCCAGCACAGTGGTCCTAGCCAAAACATTCATTGTGAAGCTTATATTATTGTTTATAGTAAAGCCTATGTAGTAGAAAGGTTGTTAGTTTGTCATTTGTAGTCTTGATAAGCAGATGACTTGTATAGTCATAGTCTTGTATACAGTCATTAGTGAAGAGGATCAACTTGTGACCACCGTTCCTCTTTGGCAGATGTCGAGAGCAATTTAGGAATGCATTATGAGTCATCAGTAGCTGTTGTAGGTGTGACTTACCGATTTTAATGTTGATATAATAGTGTAGTGCTTTGATTTGTGCTCAGATTGGTTTTAAGGCTGTGTGTGCACTGTGTTTTTGAAGTTTTTGAAACCTCTTAAATGTTGACATTTTAACTGTTAAATCAGCTAATTATAGGCGCCCGGTTAGCTCAGTCGGTAGAGCTTGCGATCCATATCCAGAGTTGCTGCAGCGGCTCGGGTTCAAAGTCGACCTGCGGCCCTTTGCTGCGTGTCATCCCCTTTCTCTCTGCCCACCTTTCCTGTCTATCTTCGGCTGTCCCTATCTAATAAAGGCATGAAAAGGCCAAAAAAATAACTTAAAAAAACAACAACCTTTGATTAAACTGTAGTTTTACTTTTATGGCAGCCATCGTTTTTAGTGTTTTGTTAAATTAAATGAACTCCGAAATGTTTTTTATTTTTATTTTTTTAAATGACAGTACAGAAAAGCACATTTGCATTGTCCTTTTCCTAAGCTGTACATGTAGTTGTAAAAATAAGACTGCGTTAGTCAACCTTTCTGATTAGATAAAGGTTAAAAATGGCATTTCCTCTCGTCAACCTCCAGTCAGCAGGAAGTCTGCTTGGACAGCTCTGTGGCCTCTGCCGGAATCAGTTAAAGTCAGTTCACTTTCACACTCAGGATCACCAAACAATGGAGAAGTCAGAGGTCAATAGAATTGGCTAGTGGACAGTGTGTAATATTCTTTAGCCTGGTTGTAAAAATGACCTCTGCCATGGTACCTTTCCTGCACATGAAAGATGAAGCTTGCACAATAGGAAGCAAGTGTCTTTCAGAGACAAAAAAAAAAAAAAAAATAAGTTGTGAAAAGAAAGGTGTTTATTTTGTAGGCTGCATTTTTTTCTTTTTGTGTCAGAAAGACTCGTAGCTTGTTGACCCAGTGCTACTCCCTGTGTGTCACCAGTTACTATTTAGGAGCAATGCATGCAACCAAACACAGTCTGGCTGTGACTCCCCCCTAAGATTCCCATAGCGTGCTAAAGGCTTGTACCAAAGTTCCTCTTTACAATATGTGTGTGACTAAGATCAATAAACATTCCCCCTCCCTCTCTGTGTCTGCTCCTAAAGAGAAGGTTATGCAAAGCCTGGCTTTCGTGCCTCGGTGCCCTCCTGTTCTCTCCCTCTCTCTCCCTCCCTCACTCCTGCTCAGCACAGGAAACCGCCCCCCTCCCTCCCCCCCGACAGGAAGCCATGTTGTCCCAGTGTGCTCGGAAGGCCAAAGCGATATCAATTGTGGAAGCAATGTTTACCTTTTTGAGTTTTTATTTTCATCTCCAGCTCTCAGGCTGGTGGCCTGGGAGCTAATGCCCAAATTGCATGGGGCCAAAGTGCTGAGTGGCTTGGGCAGGGCTGGTCCTTTCACACGCAATGCCATGCTCCCAAGAAGCCCCCCGGCCACAAAGAAGGGAAAGCAGGGTGGGCCATTGCTTATACAAGATCGCGGATTCCAGAAATGGTTTCTGAATATCTGCCATTGATCTTTCTGGGAGAGTAGGATGGGAATTTAGAAACTGCTTTTGTGAATGATGTATAGGCCTCCACAAGTCAAATTCCATTAGATTCAAAAAGATCTCATTAAAAGAGCATTTTGGAAGAGTACCTCCAGAGTCTGCCCTTATGAAAACTGTTCCCATAACCAGAATGCTACCTCTGTATATGGAGTGAAATTGTTTGCAGCTTAGTGTTTTTCCCATAAATCCCTGCTTCAGATTTCTTTTAAACCTCTGTATATCTTGGAAAGGTTTTGCTGTGTGTCCGTGTTTTGTGTACACCTCCACATATTCACACTTTGAGCTCCCCCAGTGTGATAACAGACGTCTACCATTAACCACACAGCAACTCACACCACACAGCTTAATCTTGTCAGCCCTAGTCCTGTTTAGTATTGTTGCTATCTCCACCTGCTCTCTCTTCCTTTTCTTAACTTACTAATAGACAAAGTTGTTATGGTTGGATGTCCATTCACTCTTGGTTTTAAACGCATTTAATCCACATTTGGCCCATCCGTCTGTTTATTTTTATATCCATACAACTACCAACTCCTTTATCTTTCCTTGATTACATTGATAAACAGTAACCAAGGGTTATGTTGACAAGAGGCTTTAAATGTTACATTCTTCAGGCCTAGAAATGTAAATGTTACGAACTGGTATTCAGATTGAATATCAAATAGTAAATGATCAGTCCGGAGATCACTTAAAAATTGCAATGAATATTCCCTAATTCCATGCCTTGTCACAGTTTAGTAGTTTGTCTTAATATGCATTTATTTAACGGTAACATTTTTATAATAACCCATATTTCAGTTTGAAATATTCCTGGCCTGTGTGGTTGTACTAATTTGTGGTGGTAAGTTTGTCTGAACTGAAATCAGTGAAGTTCAGCTGTCAGTCTCGCTACCTGTTATTCATTAGCCTGTTTGACTTGGAGCTCTGCCCAGTTCATTCAGATTTTTGATTCACAGCATGACAAAACACTTCCTTGTAAATAAAGACATGGTTTGCTTGTGGTAGGAAGGACGCTAGCTTTTGTCCCACACTAACCCACCACACTTCTCCCCAACATGTTGGACCTGTCTCAAAATGTTTAACTTACTTATAATGAAATCGAATTAGTAAATCGGTTAGTAGCACACCTGTCTGTGTTTAGAGGTAAATTATTCACATTGATATTACTTAATATTTTGAGAAGTGCTGTAAACACTAATTGCATGTCGACACATTAACTCACTGCTGCAAAAAACCAACTGTCTGACAGTGTAGTGGTGGTTGTAAGGCAGTATTGGGATATCAAGGCAGGTCTCAAATTAGCTCATAGTTTTAGTGTCTTTGTATCAGTGCCAGTGTACTATGACTGAGCCTCCCAGTGTTTTGCGTGAGAGAGTCCAAAGAACCTTAGCTGTCACAGTGACAGTAGCGTGCGACTGTGCCTCTCTGTCTCCTGGTTAGCGTGAGAGCTCAGCGTGGTTGGGGTTGAAGGCCAGGTTTTTCCAGTTTTTCTTTTTTTTTTGTTCTCTGTTCATTTAGTTTTTTTTGTTTGTGCTTACATGTATGTAAACTTTATTGAGTCCGCCATTGTATGTTTTGTGTGTCAGCTGCGTTTTGTCCTCAGCGAGTTATAATAACTAACCGAGAGAGTTACACAAGATAAACGGAGTTTCGAGAATCTAGTCAGAATTATAAACTGCTGAGTGCAGGAACTTATTGTGTGTGGATTACAGCATTTATACAACAGTGATGATGTATAGTAAGACAGCTCATGGCTCCTTTCAGGGGTGATTAGGATGGGGGGATTTCTGGTTAATCTATGCATTTTGGGCTTGAGATTAAAGCCAAGATAAGCCTGTGGTAGCCTAGAGTAAAACACCTCCAGTCTTTCTGTGTTTATAGTTATTAATGGTTAAATATAGTCACAGGGACCTATACTAAAGCTTTAAGGTTTATTAAGTTAGCATTTACATAGCTGTCTGCACTGTATGTTAGATTACTTCTCATACTGTGGTGGGATATTTCCTCATAATTTATATTTTGAGTGAAATAGAATTTGAATGGGAACCCTTTTCACTGCCTGTAAACATCACAGGAGTTGCTATTTCAATGTTACGAGTGTGTGTTTTCCTATTTATTGTTTTATGTCAATTAGGTATGTTTGAATATATCATTGATTAACCAAAATGGGTTTTAGCTCTTTGTATGAAGAAGGATTATTTTAGGAAGGTACAGTATACATACATACACGTATGTGTCTATATTGTGACATTTCTTTCATCAAATGCATCATAAAGTATGAACAGTTAGCAATGGGATATGCTAGCTGTTCATTTCTGATGCACTATTTTGGTGGCAAAGGTTTGAATGTGTCTATTTTAAGCAGTTCTGAAAATGACCACGGAGAACAACCTCTCATGGCTTTTTGCTTGCATCTTAATGTCTCTGTGTTCTCCAGCTCCTACAGGTTCAGTTAACAGCAGAGGGGCAACACAGGCAGCACCAAAGAAACCCAGTTTGAGGAATGGAGGTGCTGGAGGCCCGATGAGGCCAAAGGACGACGAATGCTTCGGAGATGGGACCGATGAGGACCTGGACACGGACTTTGACTTTGAGGGAAATCTGGCTCTGTTCGACAAAGCTGCCGTCTTCTCCCAGATTGACGGGACCAACAGCAACAGCAGCAGGGCACAGCATCACAGCATGCCGAGCGAACAGAAACCCATGTCCTACCGCCATGATGAGAATATTCTGCAAGTGAAACCCGTCATATACCGACAGATAACAGTGCCGCAACATGGGGGCAAAGACTACTGTACCGGTGAGAACAAAATGCATGTGAATACTCATACACACACAGAGACACACTCACGTATCTATAGGAACATTATTTATGTACTTGTAGTGTTATCAATCAATATGGCAGCAACAAATATTCAAGCTGCTAATTTGCAAATTCCCATGTTCAGTTTGCCTCAACGAGAAATATTTACGGGGCAGAATTTAGTAGAGAGAGTAGTAGATTTAGCATGAGTCAATCACTACGGCACCGAATCACCAGATGAACATTACCAACAACGTTACTTTTTGATTGTTGAATTTTATTTATAACTATACCAGCCTCATCCTTTTTAAATGTGTTCCAACATTCTAAAACCTCAATGTATTTATTTAATTTATAAATATATTAAACATAATAAAAACACCAAAATTTCACCTTTGAAATGGTATCTGGCAATAAAACATGTCATCTTTTTAGCAATTGTGGAGTAGCTGCTGTAGATCAGTAAAACTATATAAAGTTTATTCCTTTATAAAAATGATGGCAATTAATGATTAGTTTTATTGTAGTTTATTTTCTCGATTAATTTAATAGTTATTTGTTCTATAAAATTTCAGAAAATGGCTCACTTTTTTAAAGGACATTAGTCACAATACAAGTGTCTTTCAAGACTTTGTCAATTGAGATTTTGTGTACTTGATATAAGGACAGAAAAGTAATATTTCAGGTGTTGTTTATATCGGATTCTAAGGTTTTATGGACCCGCTTTGACTACCCCGAACCCTCTCTAGTACGCTGGCTCTCATCCACCTACTACCCTCTCCTGTGCTTTCCACAATGATTGTGCGCACTCACCACAATCTAATTTCACAAGAGATAGTTGACATTGTGTCTTTGTATAGAGACATACCTTGAGATAAAATGAAGTCCCTCTGTGGGACATTTTATCAGTGTTTGTTTTGGAAGGAGACATTTTTTCCACTGTGTTTAAACTTTGACCAGAAGTACCACCCATTTATCTAGTATCACTGTGCTGAAAAAGACACAGTTAGAGCTCTTGCCAAAAGTTTCAATATTTTAAGCATTTTCTGCACTTGATCCTGAGGACAATACTAAGAAGCTCTCGCTGAAGAATGTGCTGTAGTATCTCTTTCTATTTAACACAATAGGAAAAAACACATGCACTGTAAGGGGAGGTCACAGTGGATACATCGCTTTATCCCATTGGTCAGAGAGAGGTCATCTTGGGTTACTGTTTATCATGAAGGTGACTTTTGACTCCCCACGGCCACCATGCAATAGGCCCACAGAGATGATGAACCCGTCCTTTCCCCCCCTTCAGCTCACTCCAGGAAACTGAGTGTTACATAACTGGTTAATAGAGACATAAGATAAGTAAATGGCACGCTAACACAGGCCATGGAGTCCACGGTGTAAGAGAAATGGCTCAGTTGGCACAATGAGAGGGTATAGGGTTGGTGCTGTTTGTTTCTCCCCTGTCCTGGAGAATAATAGGACAAGGATGATGGTCAATGGAAATTTTAGCTACTTATTCCTCAGGCCTTGAGGTGACACAGTGAGTGTAGTGGTGATGGTGTTTCGAGGATTTCTACCCCATACTGTCTATCTGATTGTGTTGACACGGCGCAGCTCAGCAGGAGCAGCTGTCCGCCATTCAGCAGACAGCTGCCAAACAGAGCCTCCTTTTCTTACCGTGCAGGCAGACCTGCTTCCCAGGGCTGTCATCATAATCCCCATCCTCTGCACTCTGTAATTAGCATGCCGCCGTGCAGCCTTACATAAACAGCACCTCTGAAGCAGGAACAAACCGCACTGCTCTTGACCTGGAATCTTTGCAAGTAAACAGATAAATCAACAATATGAGAATAGAGAAAGGAAAAACAAAGTGCAGAGGTGTATGTTGGCGTTGCCATAATGCAATGGCACGGGGGTTTGACAGGCCAGTTTCTATAGACTATTGTTTATTGTAAAGGTTGCAGTCTGTGTAAGTTTAGTTCTGCTATTGTCTTGCTTTCCTGTACTGTGATTGACTCCAGCTGTGCAGTGAAACCTCAGCTCAAACAAGCTAGGGTGCAACACAAACTGCATCCAAGCCAACTGTAAACTGGTTTTCCTAGTTTTTCTTGTTATTTATTTATTTCTGTGTACTTATTAATGGCATATCACTGTGGAGAGAGCAGGATGCAAACTTGGAAACCATTTTGCCATCACAAAATATTTGAACCCATCTGACCCTAAAGTAGAAGTTCCATGTGTGTTATGATGTCTTCTTGAAACTGCATGCTGTCAGGTAGAGCTGGCAAGCACTGCAGGCTGGGAGACACATGAAACACAGTAAAAAGGGGAAGTGTTGCATTTTAAGTTTTAAGCTGCAGTTTTGACATTATGATCCATTGACCTTCATATGAAATCATGTGAATTTTACTTGATGGAGGCCTCACTTACTAGTTCTCAAACTCCAGAAAGCTGTATATAGGCAGGTGTGTGGGCTTGTAAACCCTGTGAAAGTAAAGTTCTGCACACTGTCGATCATTTGTGCAAACTTCATAATCAATTTTACCTGCTGAAGGTCTGAAGACTGAAATGTTAAATAAAGTACAAATGTAACTGTACAAACAGTGTGCAGGTCATATTTGGTTCTTTAACCTGTAAGACTTGTAAGAAGTGTCCAGCAACAGCAATCATGGCTTGTTTGGAATATTAAAAAATGTAACTGAGTAATTGACATGAGCAGTGGTACTCACTGTGGCTGAGCAGACAAATTGAAGGATGCCATATATAGAGCTAAATGATTTGTCAAAACACCCCAAAAATGAGCTGTTGGCTGTTATTTTAAAAGCAATCTTACAGATTACAGTGTTAAGCTTCTTTTCTGTGCTCCAATGAACCACTGCCCCATCTTGCCTACCTCCTTAGAGTGCAGGTCAACAGAGTTCGACTCTTGCGGTGTAGCAGAGAGTAATGGAACAGCCCTGTCTAACCCTCCCTATCCCAGCACAAGCCTTAGTCTCACATGGCCCAGATCCAGCCAGCGTGTATTGCTTTCAGTCCCGTCAGTTCCCTTGTCATGCTTGAAGGATTGCTTCCAGCTCAGTTTATTTTAGTGCTGCTGCATACTCATGGCTACCCGGTTTAGCTAGTTGACTGTTGACTTTGTTTTCACACCACATCGAAAGTGGGTGTGTGTGTGTATGTGCGTGTCTGCATAAATCACTGCGTGTGTGAAGAAGGAGGAGATGGCGTGTGTCTGTGTAATGGGGGGGTGGGGGTGGGTGGGGTGTTTTTGGTAGCGGCAACTTCAGCAAGAGAGTTATTAAGAGATGCACCTGGTGGAATGGTTGAAAAGCAATTAGTGCATACTACTGCAACTCCCACCTCGCCTGAGCTTGGCACTCAAGGCAGCAGTTTGCATGACAAGAGGCAGTTGACTTTCCTGTGCTTATCGCTCACGTGAGGATTGGCATGTTCCAGATTTCTGTTGCCCACTGAAACTTATTAGCAGTCTTTGTGCAGTATCAATAAAATAATAGTGGGAGGGGAGCAGGGCCAACCTAAAGATAAGCGAGAATTTCAGTCAGGCACGGCATGAGTCTCTGTGTTTATGTGTAATTATCCTGTGTGTGTGTGTGTGTGTGTGTGTGTGTGTGTGTGTGTGTGTGTGTGTGTGTGTGTGTGTGTGTGTGTGTGTGTGTGTGTGTGTGTGTGTGTGTGTGTGTGTGTGTGTGTGTGTGTGTGTGTGTGTGTGTGTGTGTGTGCGCTTTGCGTGATTGAGTGTGTGTGTCACTCTGTCCGTGTTGCATGCAAGGGTGAAAAGTTGTGGGTGTACGTGCGTTTCGGATGAGGTGTGTGTGCTAGCGTCTGTGTGAATTTGTGCACACCAGCGAGGCCACCAAGTTCTCAGCTACCAGGACAGAGATCTGTAGGGGGCCATTAAGGACTTAACTGCCTCCCAGCAGCTTTATTTATCAAAGGGATCCTGAGCCATGCAGTTCCCCCAGCTTGACTTTCATTACCCTTCTAATGTGCCACAGGCAATAGACAGCTAGGGATTAGCACAGGCTCTTTAAAGGTTTCCACACACTTCAGTTTGTACAGTGATAAAAGGCTGAATTGTAGTTCTGTAATACAGTAATTCAAAAAAATACACAGAAGAGAACAATTCTGACAAGGTTAGGTGACTCGACATGACAAGACGGATAAAAGCCAAGGGATTTAAGCATTTTTCTCAGAAGAAAGACCCCTACTAGAGAGAAGGTGAATTTTATAACAGAATAGATTTTAAAATATGATGTGAGTGGAAACGTAATTTATTTTAAGATGTCCAGTCAACATATAGCCACTAGATATCTGACATTCTCCATACCAGAGAAACATCTTTTAAAACTAGTCTGCAGTGTTGCATGCTCCATGTCAGGCCTCCTTCAGTCAAATCCTTGTGATAATGAGTGACTACAACAACGCAGCCCAGAGCTGGGTCCATGTGACTCAATTGTACTTTACACAAACAGAGACTGATCGGTCAGCCAGGCACATATATCGATCCATTTCAGCTTATTGCAGATATATTGGTATCTGCATATAGGTTGGCTGGTAAGTAACAAGAGATTGCAATACAGAAATGTCAAAGATGCAAATGTGGTGATTTACGAACAGAGACACCCTTACATACGAGAGAGCACTGACAAGTAAACTTTTCAAATGTAAAATGTTACAAGCAAGTGTGAGGGAGGGCCCAGTGTTTTGTCCAGCTGATGAAGCGGTTTTAAAGTGCTCATGAGCCTGCTTCTCTGCCACTGTCCCCATGATGTTAATAACAAGTCTTACATGGCTAGTTCACTCAGTGTTGTAAGTGGTGTATTTATTTTATGTTTCCTGGACAAGCACAACTCTGAAACAAACATGTTTGCTATAGTGACAAAATTGCTTCCTTGTGGCCAAATGGACTTTGTCTACAACCCACAACCAATAACTGAGCTCGGCCCCTAACATGAAGATGGGGAGTTGCTGTAGTTAAAAAAAAAAAAAAAATTTCCACGGCTGTAACCATGGAACACTTTAGGGGGAACTCAATTTGTTGACTTGGCAATATAGAGTTTTAATAATTCATGAATTACTGACAAGTGCTCTATCAAAAACATGACAGTTCCATACATAAGTCTATGAATTATGTTAGTTGTTTTTTTTTAAATGGCCGTTGAGTCAATGATTTATTTTAAGTAACTGAATTGAATCCACTGTTTAACCCAGTCACCAACATGCCTCCCCCATATCCTCCACAATCTCTCACCACGAGCTGTTGGATACAGGTGCAGGTGTTCATATGTATATGATGTTTGTCCCCTTTTTTGTCACGCCAACCCGCTGTATGTTTTGACTGAGACAGCAGCCGATGTGGGGGGTCGAGCCCAGTGCAGTCCCATCCCACAGCTGAGGGTCGGGGATTGGTCAGAAACCATGTGATGGTGCGTGTGAACTCGGGGCCCGGGGGGAAAAGGCGTCTCACTCTGGCTGCCTCATGTTTGTCGTGTTTTGTAAAGGCTGCCAATCTTCCCTTTGTTGCTGTAGACAGCAGTGACAAACAAGAGAGGAAATGGAGAATCTTCGTGATGGGAACAAGATCAGGTCATGAGGAGGAGGAAGGGCTTTTCCCTGGGGGATGGGTTTCTCTCATGGGGATCTGTGTTGCTCGCTTATATGTACCTACCACCCTCTGAGAACCTGGGAGCACGTTTATCTGTAGACCAGTGTTTGTTGTGATCTTAGAGGTTAGGTTTCTGGATTTTACTTCTACTCCAGCTGTTGTTTTTAAAGGTGCACTGATGAAGATGAATTGCTAGATGAATACTTATGATGTATTACAGTGCAGGTCTAACTTGGAAATATGAGACATATCAGAACTCTCCAATGGTTGCAGGAATGTACCAAACATGTTTATGAATATTCTTTTATTTATTTATCAGGAGTAGTGCTGTCAAACGATTAAAATATTTAATCGCAACTAATCGCATTAATGTCATAGTTAACTCGCAATTAACTATGCAAATGTTGTTTTTATTGAAAACAACATTGGCATATACAGTAGTGTTCAATTTCACACTAACATTCTCACTTGGAGCAAATAATCAGTCACACAATGTAACACTGTCCATCAATAAAAGGGTGAAAAAAATACTTTGTCACACAAACAGCCCCTTCAACAGCCCTTTCTAAGGGATCAAACAGGGCGATACAAAATAAAATTACAAAGTGCACATGTAAGGTAAACTAGAACTCAGCCTATAGTGCAGTTAAACCATGGCTTAATACTTTCCTCAAGTTTTCTTTGAACATAGCAGTCAGGCTACTGCTCTTTATTCACCAGAGGCTCAACCCAGCCTCTTATTTCAGAAAGAATGAACAGTAATGGTTACCAATAAAAGGTAAGCCTACTATTTCTTTGCTCTGAGCCAGTTGCTCAAACAGACAAGCCTGTTGACATTTTCAGACAACAAGGAATCCATCCATTTCGGCGTCTCGCGCTCGCCATCCACTCAAAATGTAACGTCTACTACTCTTAAACAAGTGTGTGCGGCGTGCCTGTTGTTTTGTTCCAGTCTAGCTAGATCCGGTGTGGTGTTGTAGTTTTTCTAACGTTACTAGTTGTTGCAACAGCATGTGAAAAAAACTACAAAGTGTGCTAGGCGTTAATCTCGCGATAAAAAAATTGACGCCGTTAAAATGGGTTTGCGTTAACGCCGTTAATAATGAGTTAAACTGACAGCACTTATCAGGAGTTAATTTTGAACAAATATTTTCCCAGATAATATTTACTTCCCTTTCCCAAAATGCTATATATATATATATATATATATATATATATATATATAATATATGATCTTCTGTTTTTCTCTGTTTCAGAGAACAATAGAGAGATTTTTAAATGTAAGATTTAGGCATATGTCAGATATATACTCAATTGTGTTTATCTCAGCAAAATGTCTCCCACTACTAACTCTACTACTAACACTGTGTCATAACATCACCAATGTGACATGGATATGTTTTATGGGAAAGTTACCAGTGGATTCAGTTTGGTTTTGCTTTAACATGACTTTAATAGCAACAGGGAATGTTAATGAAAGTGTTTATTCATAGTAGTTTTGTCTTTGTTAGGCAGTTCATCTGGGCAGATGTTTTCTAGAACAGGATGATGTTTTTATTAACCATCATCCTTTCATGCTCTGTGCTGTTACATCAGCATTGTTAGAATAGCATTAACATGCTACCTATCTCACCTTGTGTTTTGTCTCTGCAGATTCAGGCCTGGTGGTTCCCAGCGTGCCCTATGAGCTTCATAAGCGTCTACTAGCAGCTGCAGAGCGCTGGGGCCTGTCTCTAGAGCGCAGGTTGGAGACGATAGGTGTTTGTTCCAGTCAAATGGCTCTCACTCTGCTGGGTGGACCAAACAGGTAAAGAATACTGCTCGGGTGTGATCCAGCAGTGTACCTTTGTCCGGTTAAGTGTGTGAAAGAATTAAGTTAGTCAGTTCCTGGAGTACGTGTCTACTAATCTGATGTACAGTGCAGATAGAGCCACCACCATTTGTTAAATAATAATAATAAGAATGCACAACAACAACAGACATTCCTACACAATCATTAGAGCCGACCTGTCCTTTTTTGTTTTCATGTCATGTTTTCCAGTTTCCATGGCAATCCTCTTTACTACCATGTTTCTACATGAGTTAGATGTTTTTGACCTTGACCCCCCCTCAGGGTTTATTTTGTTAGGAAAGCACTACAGTGAGCAGTCACACTGCAGGTCAAGATCATCCTAATACACTGGAGCGGCAGTGTTTGGTATTGTTTACCTGCACCTTTTATGAGCGGTGTAGTGTTATTTAAGATCAAAGAACCTCAGCGCAGAGGCTCATATAACAAACAGGTTTATAGTCTCAGATCCTTTTATTAATTTAGTACTGCAATACTTTCGTGTCTTAATTTTACACTGGGACTACTGGGAGCTCAGATCGAGTTTAATTTTGTATTGTAATAAAAGGATCTCAGACAATACAATGGTGTTCCTCTATTTCCCTGACAGCCAACAGGCACTCAATTCATACTCAAAAGTCTAGATGCAGCATAAATAGCAGTAGTTACATCAACAACTTCAATATAATGTTTATAAACCCAAACCATCAACAATAAAGATGAATAATGTAAACTGTACAAAAGTAAGTGACATGGCCTATGGAGGTTCTGTGATTATTTCTGAAATAAGCAGTAATTACAAAAAGGTTAAAAATGCCAAATCAGTAAACATACGACACAGCCAAGGACTGCTGAGCAATGCAGATACTTTACTTTATTGCTAACAATAGCTTTGTTATCATTGTTAGTGTTTGTTGGTTGGTAATGTTTGTTAATGTTTTCTTGAAGCAAATCTGTGGTGTTTATAACTGACCTGTAGGTAGCTCTTATTATTGTAACAGTATGAGTTGACATTGCGTGCAGGTTCAGAATGGCACATGCTATGTATGCTGGCAGGATAGACTGCTCCCTGGTGTCCATAATCAATCATGTCTTATGTCCTTGATTGTCCTCTTCTTATGATACGGTGGATATGATGCCATCTGTTTAATAACATACTTACTACATTGAGTTACATTTGTTTGTGGAGTAATCATTTTGTCATCTCTTGAATGTCTCCAGACTCACCCCAAAAAATGTCCACCAGAGGCCCACTGTGGTCCTTCTGTGTGGGCCACACATCCAGGGAGCCCAGGGCATCAGCTGTGGCAGACACATGGCCAACCACGAAGTGGAGGTCATCCTGTTCCTGCCCAACTTTCTCAAGATGCAGGAGTCAGTCACCAGTGAGGTCAACCTTTACAGCAGGACCAGTGGCAAGCAGGTGGCCAGCGTCAAAGGTAGAACACACCAACATGGTTTTTACATGATTGAAGGAGCAGTGTGTAGACTTTAGGGGCATCTAACGGTGTAGTTGCAGATTGTAACTTTCACCCTCCCTTTTTAAGTGCAAAGTAACTATGGTGGGCACGAAAAGCATGAGAAACGCCAACACCCCTACCTAGAGCCAGATTTGGTTTGTTCTGGACTACTATAAAAACATGGCGGACTCCATGGAAGGCAACCTGTGCCGTCTGTGGATAAATATGCCTCATTCTAATGTAACGAGGATATAACTATTCTTATTTTCAGGTGATAATACACAAATGAAAACATGGTTATGAATATTGTATTCCATTTCTGCCATTAGATCATCCTAAATGTTACACATTGGACGTTAATATCCCTGTCTACTCAGGATTCACTGACCCTGATGCTGGGTTTATGGGCTGGTCTGTGTCTGAAGTGATTGTGATTAATGTAATAATGATTGAGAATATCTGTGTAAGGATCAGTTCATGTTGTCCCATTGGAACAGACCAGCACAGATAAATGTTGCCCTCTAGTGGAGCAGCAGTAAGACAGTCCTTACTCATGTTGTACCATTTTTCCCACTTATGTGTGTCTCCACACAATATCTGTAGGTATATAGAAAAGATTGATTTGAGAGTGTCTCCTGGTTTCAGTTTTTAAGCAATATCATGTGCACCAAACGTATTCTCTTGTAGTTTTGTGAGCCAACTTTAAATCATGTTCATCGTCTCTTTTCTTCTCCTTTCTTTCTCTGTCTCAGACCTGCCAGCTAGCCCCGTCGATCTGGTCATCAACTGCCTGGACTGCCACGAGAACCAACTGCTGAGGGAGCAGTCCTGGTACCAATCAGCTGCTGACTGGGCCAACAAGAACCGGGCTCCAGTCCTAACTATCGATCCTGCGGTTGGCGAGCAGTGTCAGACTGTTGAGGCAAAGTGGACCCTGTCTTTGGGCCTTCCACTACCGTTAGCTGAGGCAGAGAGCAGGGTCTACCTCTGTGACATTGGCATCCCCAAGCTGGTCTTCCAGGAAGTTGGAATCCGCTACCACTCACCCTTTGGATGTAAATTTGTTATTCCTCTACACTCGGCATAACAGAGAACCCACTTACATTGCAAATAGTTAGAAATGGACAGTAGGAGGGAATGGTCTGCTTTTCCATTGGGGAAAATGTATCATTGTGTATGTGTGTGTGGCAATAGCTGAAGAGTAGCTATGTGTACATGACCGAACCAATATTCATCCATCATTACATACAATTTCATGGCACGTCTGAAAGTGTATGGTGCAGGTTTTTCCTCTAACCCGCCGGAAACTGGGAAGCTGGGATTGCCGTGTGTTGCGTGCGACACCTCTTGTTTTTGAGAGGGAAAGGTTTCCTGTTCTTTGGTGTGTTTTGATAAGGGCTCTGTGACTATGTGAATATGTTTACAAAATGCTGACCACTGTGAGTCTATCTATAACCTCTGACCCCGCGACCAGTCAGAGCAGCAGAGACACAGATCCTGTTTCCTCCTTTAGATTGCATGTGGAGTCTGATCCTGGCTCCGTGACCCCGGAGCAGAGCTCAGCATAAAGCTGTCTGCCAGCCTAAATCTGCCATTCATTCATATCTGCCACCGCTGATGTCCATGTCCATTGTCTTTCAATTTTCTTTTTTACTTACTTACCTTGGTATGTTTTTGTTTGGTTATGGTTGCAGCATGTTTCACTGAAAAGGTGATATACAGAATATTTGTATTTATTTTTAGAATACATCTCAGGAATAATGAATGAAAAATGAAAAGACTTCATATTTGCATTGACATTACATTTGATAGCACTCTTTCTGCACTGTTGGGTGTCTTGAGTTTATAATCACCAACACTGAAAATGAAAAGTGGTAGCGGACTCCCTGGAGGATTAATTTTTTTTGTATTTTAAGTCTTGGAGATTAGACAGGGATTTGAAGCACACATTCCAAGGACCAAAAACATCTTGGGCCAGGTTTATCACGAGGGATTATATCTAGTTACTGTAGGAGTAGTTCAACGCAATTAGTACTATTATTAAACAGTTTCCATTTGACACAGATTTAGCCACCTTCAGTGAAATAACCACTCCAACAAACTTTCTCTTTTTGTCAGCATATAGATCATCTGTTAAAACCTCAGATCAGCAAAATGTCAAATTTAGAAGAACAAAGAAAACAGCCTTATTTTCAGACTGGCAGCTATGCACTTGGACACAGGTCGTGTTTTTAAGACCTCTTTAAGTCCTTGAACTTGTCATGAACTTATTTTCTGACTGTGTACAATACAGTACTTGAGGTAAAAACATGAGAATAAAAAAACTGTAGTCATAAGTTATATATGGCAGAGGGTTCTCACTTAACCAATTTCTACAGTTTGGATTTATTGAATCCTTTAATGCACTCCACCAAACAGCAGTCTCTCAACACATTTTTTGCTAATGTGTGATGGTGGGGTGATTTTTTTTTTTTTTTTTTTTTGGTAAACCAATAGTCATGGCTGTTCTTTTGATTCTCTACTGCAGCAAAGACTAAACCAAACACTTAAAATTAATGATGGCTGTGGTTAAGAAATCATGCCTAAAAAAGGAGAATGGCAATCACTGCAGTACCAAATAAGGTGAATTTATTGCTGATGGGTTTGTATCTGACAGTTTTCATGAGTGTGGTCAACTCTGGAAAATATTTTGTACCCAAGGTTTTGACTAATTTATTGCCAACCTGTCTGGTTTAGTTGATTTGCCGATTGTGAGTGCAGAGTACCTTTTTGTAAGCTTGTTATAGCCTCTGGTAAACGTGATCTATAAACATGTATTTAAATGTCTTTAGGTATACATGTGAAGCTTCAGGCAAAGTATTTGAAGCTTCAAAAAACCTTCAGCCTAGATCTACTGGCAAAATGCAGACTCTAGGATCACGGTGGGTGCTCCCTTATATGCAAGTGAAATAAAAAAAAAAAGGATCTTGCAAACTGTGTGTGGACTGTAAGATCTGTTTCACGGTCACTGAGAAAATGCAACACCACAATTACCACCTAGTGTGCTTTTGAGACACTAGGGTATATTTCCATTTAATGCTCCTATATGCTTCAACTTCATTACATTTAAGAGGAAAACGTACTTTACAGTATTTATTTGACAGATAGTTATAGTTACTACTACTTTGGATATTAAAATACAAAATATGTAATCCTCAACCAGCTGCAACATTCAAATGCTACTTGCAGATTAATGCAGCAGGAATAGTTAACCAGCAATATAACACTGCATAGTGAGTTACTTTACTTGTGATACTGTTTTCCCTAATACTAATACAAGACAGGTAGCGGTGTTAATAACATTAATAATGGCTCCGTTCTAGTCGAATGTCCCAGTATGTCCCAGTGAGCCAGCATGCACAATATCAGGAGCCTGAAACTGAAGCAGTTAAATGGAATTCAGCCAAATTTTAATTTGAATATTTGCGCCTGTGCTTTTCCTACTGTGACACAAAAAACTGTCTTCTGTGAAAAAATAGAATATTTTCACTTTCATTACAAAGCTTTGGAACAACAAGGAAGAAAGAAGAAAAAAAGTTGGAATTGCTTGTAAGTGATCTTAGTGTGATAATTCATTGAGAATAAAGACTTTATAATCTATTATATCGCTATTACGAGTGAAAACCAAACCTTTGAGGTTAACCCACAAAGGGGCTGCTATTGGACCCCTGTTTATAGTTATTGTGGTTGATGGTAATTAAACATTTATTCAGGAATGTTCAGTGTGTCCCTTAACAGGTAGACTGGACAGGTAATAATGCAGTGTGACCTATATTCCCAAACAAATGAGCAGTTAATCAAACTACTACACACCAAATGACATCCAATGAATATGAGACCCCTGGGGCACTTCTTACTATATATTTAATGTTTAACAGGAAAGAAAGGGTGTGTTTTGTTACAGTAGCTTCTTCTACTACTACTACACAGCTGTTTTTAATCACTGCATGGAATAATTCATCAACAGCAGGGAGACGTCAATCACAAACCGCTGTGTGGGAGTCCGGTTTGAAGATATTACGCTCACTATGTCTGGATAGTACAAGATGCCCCGGTATATTACACTGTATTCATCCTGTACGACTGCATACGGTGGCTTTATTCGGTGGTTGGAGACGTAGCGGGCAGGCGGGCCGCTCAGAGGGAAACCTCCCACAGTAACAAGTCCGCCATGAGTTGACAGCCGCACCTGTTGGCCACACGGTTGTGCTCACAGACCGCTCGCCCCGTGGCTGTGCTACTCCTCTGCGCATGCGTGTTCCGTTGACGGAGCGGAGACCATTTCCTCCAGCAGCAGGCCTCGCGGAGCTCCGCCAGCGCACACACACACACACACACAAATATACACACACACATATACACACATGCAGACAGCACGGACAACCGTCAAAGCAAAGCCACGTTTGGGATTGTCTTATCTTAACGCCGCCACACCTGGATGCCCCCCCAACCGCAGGAGTCTTCCTAATGGGCCTTCATCGCTGATTTGCAGCAACATCTGGTCGACACTTCAGCGGTATCTTTCGGGTGAGTTACCCACCGCGCAGCCACTGTTTTGTCTCGTTGTGTTGCCGCTGCTGCCGCTGCAACGCTTTTAGCTCGGGAAGCGTCGGGATAGCGCTCGGCCAAATGTCACTGTGGGGCTGTATGTTCCGTGTTAGTCCCGGGTTGTCTCTACCTTCACCAACAGCTCTGAAGTGTTGTGTTGTGACTCTTGTTTTCCACCGCCCGAAGCGACCGTTAACGTTAAATCTGTGTCACAGCGTTAGCGGTGAGCTAGCTGCTAGTTAACGTACGCTGTAACGCCACGAGTTCCATTATCGGACACCGTTTATGCTAAGGTCTTAGCAGATTTTACCCCTCCAGTCTACCCCCCCCTCCACAATACATTCATTAGGTTTGACAGTAGAGCAGCAAATACGTAGACACAAACAAAACAGGGCAACTGTCAAACGATGTGTGTGCTGTTGGTTTACGTTACATAAAATAATTATCTTGTTGTTTCGGGCGATTTTGCGGCTGTGCCCAAAAACCTCCTCGTCACCCACCTTCCTCTCCCCTTTTTCCACAGTCGGCGGCTAACGCTTTGTGGTCCTGACCTTACCTTTGACTCTGTTGTCCGTTTTCCATAAGTATCTGTTGACACAGTGTGGTCCAGTATTGTAGGGAAGCCCAAAGATAAAGGTGGGAGTCGGGGGGGAAAAGAAGGAGCCATGCAGCATTGTGTTGCAGGCGGATGCGCTGTTTTGGGATTTGTGTAAAATGTCGTGGACCTCACTGTAAATAGACAGTTAGTGTATCGTTGAAATACTCACCATGTGCATACTAAACTAGTGCTAGCACTGTGGTCTGGCCTATTGGTATTGTTTTGTATTTAGGAAAATTATCCCGTCCGATAATGGACCCAGTAAATTTAGCCACCTCCGTGCTGCACTTGAACACAGGACTGGAGGTCCAGCCCCTTACATTGAGACAACTCTGATCCCCATCTCTCCCCTGATATTGTTTTTATATAATGTTTGTTCCACTGTTACATTCTTTAGCATTTGTTTTGCTTTTATCGGAATATGTTTCATTGCATGTAGTTGTGCAGAACTAACATAGAGTTGTCCTGTTGACAGTAACAGATAATTGGGGGGGGTTGAAACACTGTTATGATGATATTATTTATCCCACAGGGAAATTGTTTTTCTCCTGCCCCCCTCCCAATAGAGGTCAGAGGTCAGGTTATCCTGGGGGTGGTAGAGCTCCAGTGTCTTACTCAGTGACATTTGAGCTTGGATTCTTCCTAACACACAGGTTACCGAACATGAAATTCATTACAATTGAATTGGGCCATTGTTAAATGTTGTTGCAGTTTCATGAACCAGACCAACATGAAGCCTGTCATCCGTGCAGCTTTGGTTCTGTTTGTTAGTTCCTCACTCTGTAATTCAAGATAACTGTTTGCCTGAAATGTTGAAATGTACATACCTTTGCAAGCTGTGGCTTGACTGACAAAAGAAATGTAGTGTCTGCCGTGCATTGTTACTTTACATAGTGTTCCCATGTACTTTAGGTGAAGACCGCCAGACTGCTCTGCTTTGTGACTAATCACTTCCAATCTTACTCCTGGGTTGTTTTCAGGGAACAGATCTTACGAATAGCATATTATCTCAGTGTCTGTGCTTGATATCCGACACGTTACTGCTCAGAATCTAAAATATCATCCCTTGCTGCCTATTTTAATAACTAGCAATCTACAGTCAGTTTCAGGCTGACCAGCAGTTAGATTTTGCATTATAATCTGGATAGAGACATTGGCAAGTGGACTGTTTGATTTGATGGATAATTACATTAAATTACTCATTTTGATGACCCCCTATCTTTACTGTTGTTCTGATTACAGTGATTGCTGAGTGCTGATGGAGCAGCATGATAGCTTTGAGTTTTCTATTAGAGAAATCTGTTACCAAGATTGGTTGGAGCTAGTGGGGGTGTTAGGGCTTGGCATTCATTATCCCCAGAGGAATCTGTTGAACCAGACTGCAACATGTTAGGTATCCATATGCTGCGTCTGTCAGCTAACCTGCTGTCTGTATGCTGGGATGTCCAACATCGTGTCTCAAGGGTCTCTGCTGAGAATTGTTGCAATTAATGCCCTTTTGTTTAAGAGTTAGAATTGAAGTCTACATGGACCACTCCTCTAATCACAGTGTAACTCAGCCCTGGTCCCAGTAAGTGAGACTGTACAGCTTTCCATCTCTGAGGCTAGACCCATCGAGTAAGGAGGCAGAAGACTCTCAGATTAAATCTTCGACCCCACTAAGTTCTTCCCTTCCCTACCTTCTCTTCGTCAATAGCTCCTTCCCCATGTCACTGACTGACTGATGACTATATTGGAGTAGTCTAATCGAGGACAAGAGGTGACAGGACATGCCTGTGAGCCCAGCTACGTGTCGGCTCTCCTCTTTTTAGCAATGAGTTATGAGGAGGGGAAGAAAATCGCTGTCTGGTCGATCCTCAAAGCTGCGAGGAGCTGAGCTGTGTTACTGTCTTACGTTAAGCTCTGAGCCTGGCTTATGTGCTCAGCAGGGAAGTAATGGCTCCTCTGTCTGTACACTGACCATCTCATTGCACATTTGAAGCCTGTCCAAGGCCCTGCTGACCTCAACACAATGACCGCGTTTAGTTCGTTTTTTCCCCTCCAGCTTCTTCTCTTCAGTGTCCGCTGTCTCTTTAATCAGCAAGTGCAATAACAGAGGAGGGTTTTATCATGGTGACTTTAGTGCAGAGCTTAACAGTATACTGACACTCTTGAGCATTAGGACATCACAGATGGTGCAAAACGTACTCCCCACAGTAGGCTGTATCACTCTGCATAGATGCACTCAGAAGCGTTTACTTCATGGCTGTGTGCATTTCAGTAGCCTCATATTGTGTGTTAGTAGCTGT